TTTTCATATTCTGAATTTATTGTATTGCAACTTATTATTCTTTTATGCATATTCCTATCTAATCAGATCCTTTCCTCCTTGAACTCTACCATAGCTTAAATTCTTGAGTGAACATGAGTGAATGAATGAACATACGGATGGGCAGCAAAATAAAGGAAAACCTGAACCCCTGAGCAGTAAGTAGATCCAGTGGCTCAATTTTCACAACACAGTTTGGGTCCATGTGTCTGCTAAAAGGAACAGGTTGTTGCAAATCAATACACAAATGTTCAGAGCGATCATTTTTAACCTACAATGCAACATTTCTATGCAAAAGTGGCCAGGACGGCAATGTCCTCATCTATAGGACAGAAAGGGCCACTGAATAGTTTGAAGAGAATGAGAATGATATGTATCACAAGCTATGTTGTTCCTGATGACCAGCACTCACATGGTAGAAAGTGTTCTTCCTCCACAATCATCAAAACAATAAAGGATAGAAGATCGGTAGCACTTTATAATACAGCCTGTGACGGGCATAAATCACCTGTAAATAAATGGAATTTCATTGGATTTTATTTGAAATTATAATGTAATTATATTTAATTAAAATAGTTAAAAGTAGGTACACTATAACAATGTGGTAAAAGTCAGGCTTGGAGGAAATAAAGAAATCGTTAGAGTTTAAATTTAATCTGCAAGTAATTTAAAGTAATGCGTAAGTAATTTCAGGTATTGCATAACCATATTAAAGATTAGGGAGGGGCTTAACCTTGTTAACTTTCAGGTATTTTACAGAAAAGAAGACATTCCTTTCATGCACACCCCTTTTCAAAAAAAACAAACAAAAAACAAAAAACAGCTGGACTTTGCTCTGTCATTATAAGTTCCAATTTTGATGGTACCAAATTATTTTTTCTTATAAAAGCAAGCAAGAACCATCCTTGTCACATTTATACTGGTAAATTAAAAGGACACCTGAATATTACAACAATCATCATGCACCTGTGTTACAGCAGAATTACGACATAAGATGGGGAAAAAGAACTTCCTATATTGTAAAATTACTACAAAATTATTTCAAATAAATTTTGACTACTTCGATGTACATTTTTTCTCCCTACTGTTGAAACATAACTTAAGTCACTCCATAATCTGTGATATGGATATATGATACTTAAAATTAATCATCCGCTACCTAAAAATACTTAAAATTACTTGGATAATTATAAATTTAAAGTATAATTATGTCTTTGTTTTGTATTATAAAGTGTTACCAGAAGCTCCTTTGGGATGACAACGTCTTTCTTCCCTTCAGTTTAGCGACTTAAAAAAAAAAAAAATCAGTTGGAGTTGTTCTGATCATACATGGTGTCCCAACGCATTACTAAGACACCTTAAGTTGCATTTCCCTAACGTTTGTCTAAAAACACTCATTCCTGACAAGTTACTTAACTTCTCCATCACCTTGGTGTAGCCCAGCAAACATTATGACTAACACATTTGGATTTGGTTCAAGCATATGCCAAGAAACACACTGGGCATTAGTTGCCACAGGCACGGTATTATCAAACATATTTTTTCCCGATGACACACTCCACATCTTGATTGCACGATTAGCTCTCTGTTGTCCTTGAGGTATGGTGAGCAGCATGTTGCTATTGGCTTGGGCTCACGCACTAATAAGCCAGCCATAATGTTAGCATTCTGCAGAGTTCACACCCAGACTGGATGAGAAGAGTTTGCTCTCTCTATTTCTCACTGTGAGCCAGTTGACAGTGTTCACTCTGAATGAGGAGCCCTGTCAGTTCGCCATCTGTGCTGGGCAAATTAAAACTGTACCAGGAGGTGCTTGGCCCTGGCATTTTGGACGGCAGCTCCATGACTTCATCATTACTTTATTAACTTACCATTTTTTAAGAAAATCTAATAAAATGTTTGTCTTTTTTATTGTTAGTGAAGTACAAAAACCCCCGTCCACTATAAAACAGAAACACTTTACTACCTACACAGGCAGGTGCTTGTCTCAAGCTAATCCCTGTGCTGGCTGTGATTGTTTGGGTGACAGTGGAAGAAAGAAAACGTCCCTGCCTTTGGTGGTTTTTTCGAACAGGGAACAGAGCCCCGAATGACAACAGCTTTGTTAGGCATATGGAGTGTTTTATTGTCTCGGAAAGCTGATAATTGATGTTCAGTGTAGAGACTTAAAAGGCTTTTCTTGTGAATCAGCTAGAAAAAAAACTATAGACACACACAAAAAAGAATAAACCAGAGACAGAATCTGACTGCGTGTGGAAAACTTCAAACGGAGCAGTGAAGCATTAGGGTAGTGAGAACCCCACAGGATTAAGCAGTAGGGTTGCTCATCAAGTCTTGCTACCAACTGAGTTGTAATTCCTCCAGCAGTGAGGCTTTACAGACTACTGAGGCAGTGTGGGACTGTGGAGGTCTGGGCTGAAGCCTCGAGCAGACAAAGTGGCCTCTGTTCTAAGAAAAAGACACAGAGATGTAGGAAGGATAGTTCTGAGCCATAATGGCCAGCATCTTCTAGGATGATGGGCTCGGTATTGTTATAAATCACTGTCTTGGATCAGCCACTGCCATTAGATCCCCTGTGCCTCAATTTGTCCAGTGACAAAGGGATCTGACTCCTCAAGTCCTTAAAAAGTTGAGGCGGGTGCGCTAGCTGTGTAGATAAAAGTGAATGAGCCTTGTTAGCAACCATCTGTTTGAAAATGACTACTTTTGAATGCAGCAGTGTCAGAAAATTGTCCTAACACCACCTCCTCAATCTTATCTGAGTGCTAGCCAGCTTAGCGCCATTTCTATTTCTATTCCGGCCATGCCAGGGGCTGTGCGGTGTGGCTGGCGGGGGAGTAATGGAACGTGACAGGGATGATGATCCTTCTTGATACAGGGCATTAGGCAGCCTGGCCAGTGGAGCTCCTGGTCCATCAAAGAAGTGATGCTTCAGACAATGGCTTCAATGTTTAAACTGTCAAACTGGCTAAGAGGGAGAGGTGGTGCCAGCCATTCAGCTGCCTCAGTAAAAGATTCTCTAACCTCCCATGTAGCCAAGTGTGGAAACATTTACTTTACAGGCACATAACTGCATAGATCTGACTCGTAGGGAGTGAGAAGTCCTTTGTAATGATATTTGGGGATAATTTAAAAAAATATCCCAGCTGTTTTACTAATACGGCCTTTTTTTCCCCCCAATCTTATCTTCCAATCTCTCTTCTGTTCATACAAAAACCCTACTTGATTTTAACGTTTGCTGGTCTCATCTTCAAGGTAACTTCCTTACACACCTCTGGGCCTCACACAGTGCTGCTGCTATGCATAGTAGAAAAAAA